AACTCTGGTAGTGTTTACAGAATCGAGAAAGTTAACTTTTGGAAACATTTTTAGTATAAATGTCAAAAAATGTTTTTTATTACACATGGTTGGATGCAGCTGAATAAGTTGATTCCCAATATTACCTTGGTTTTGCAATAAAACAATGTGTTAGTCTGTGATCGACTAACCTTCTCCTAGTCGTTCTTTATTCTTCTTCCTCTTCTTCTCTGAGATAAGGGAGGTAGTGGATTGCAGATAGCGTCACTACCTAAAACAATGCCTTATTTTCAAAAACAAGGATCTAGGGTAAAATATCTGAGTATTTGGAAGACTTATAGCACTGGCATGCTCATCGGTGCGAGACAACGCTATGGTCAACGATAAACTAGATATGGAAAAACAGCCAGCTAAAGCTTCAGGTCAATCTCAGTTAAGTACAGTAATTGCATTTTTGGTTTTGTCTATTCTTTTTTTTTATTCGAATGAAATAATTTTTTCGCGTAATTCATTTTAACATATTTTGATAAATTGATAGAGGAAATGTTTTCCGCTTATTTACCGATTTATGAAGAGCTTTTTAACAATGGGTCTTCTTAGGATTCGACTTGATTTTTTTGGAAATCTAGTTTTAGGATATGGTAGACTAACCGTAGACGCATTCATTTCCACATTTGAACTTTGAAACGTAGAATTTGAGGTCATGTCTGTCTGGTTACCCACTGAGTGTTGTTCTTTAGTATTATCGATAGACAAAGTTGATTCACCAAAAATAACAGCTAAAGCATCTTCTAAACTTCGATTGTTAACAAGTTTCAAAGCCTAAAATACAAACTGTAAATCGTATTTTAATAAATATTTTAAAAATAAAACCTTTCGAGCTACTTCTTGATCAATACCCATTTCTATTAAATTAGCAAGATATTGTTCATTAACATCATAATTCATAGACGAAGAAATAGTTGATGTTTGATCAGCTCCTTCTGCCATAATAAGATCTAAAATATCTTTAAAAATGAGTTGTAATCAGAGATATTCGAAGATTTTTCTCGAAATTGAATGAATTCATTTCAATTCTATTGGTAAGAAAATTCAAATGGAATGATGAAAAGAAAAACTTCATTTCATCATTATCGCAGAAAATTGATTTTAATATAGAAAGTATATTGAAAACTGATGTGTATATATTTTTGGTTTGATTAAGAGTAATTCATTTTTACAAAAAAAAAGAATATTTTATATAAAATCAATATTCATTAATATACGTATATCATCTACCATAGAATAACGTAGAAAATATTTGAATTTTGTAGAAATTGAAATTCATCATGCTTTCATTAGTTATATTGACTGATATATATATGTATCGCATCTGAAAATTTGCCGCTACCGCGCGAGTCCAAATCAGATAACTACCTAAGTTGATACCCGCCATTTGAGCTATTATTGGGTTCACAAAAAATGTTAGAAGGATTCGTGATCAATGACCTCTGGAACGAAGTTATGCTGGCAAACGACCATAGTTTGAAAATTCAATAACATGACAAAGGAACATTGTTTTCGGCTACAACTTTCAGGATATTCTCAATGTTATCAGACCTATCAATCGATAGAAGTTCAAGTCAAAATTCTGTTATTTGAGTTTTCGTTAAATACTTAAAACTGAACTCAAAATTCAATTAAACAATCATAACTAGGCTTGAGAGACCTTAATTCGGATACTTCTATCGTTAATAGACTACATAATGAACATCAGTCAATTCAACCGAATTGTTATTGACATGATTAAGTAGCTCAGAGTACATCAAAACGCTTCTTCTGCGCTACCTGGAGTCCACTAGAATTTCAGTAATTTTCCTAAGACGTTATCGAACGAATGGAACAGTCCAAAGTACAAGATAACGTTGGATTTACAATATATGATTTGAAACATTTTGAAAATAGAGTATAATATGAAAATTAAATAAATAAAAATGAAATCGCTTGCTTTTCTATCTGTTCTTTGCATAGTTGTTAAGGCTTCTCTCAATAGTCTTTCCAGTTTTAATTTCAAGTATTTTTACAAATAGTGTTTTTAATCACGGCAATTTATCGAATTATTATTATCAAAATTGGAGTATTTTCACATAGATAAACAGAAAGGCGAGAAAAGCAACCCATAACTTTTGGATTTAAAAAATTCATGAGATTAAATGGAATGATAAAGAATAATAATAAAACAGAGGGAAAAAAAACAGAATTACATTTTATCAGAAGAAAAAAAAAAAAATTATTTCGGCAAACGTATTGTGGTATGATATCGTGCTGATTGAGGTGTATCAATATTTAATGATGGACGTAAAATTTTCGATTGGAATGTTGGAATCATTTCTGTAGATGAGACAGATGATGATACATTTCGTACTACTGAATCATTTAATTTTTCATTTTCTACAACAATTGGTTTATTAGTTGTAACTGTTGCAAATGAATTATTAAATAAATTAGATATATGTGGTCGACGTAATTGTTCTGATGATATAATTTGTTGTTTAGATTCTGGTAATTTTGTTGTAACTACTGATGTTGATTTTCTTTGTTGTTGTTGTTGTTGTGTATTGGCTCGAGTAAAAAATGAATTAAATTTCTTTGATAATGTTGAACGAAATGTATCATTTGAATTATCTTGAATAATTGATTGTGTGAAATGTTTTGAAGTTCGTCGTGATATTGACATAAGCCAATTACGTGCAGTTGTTTTTGTTGAAGTCATACTTATCATAGATGTATTTAATTGATCATTATTTTGTAAACCATCATTTGATATATGATATGTTAGTTGAAATGAAAATAGTGTTAATTTTTCTAATTGAGTCATTATACGTTCGAATAGATTAAATGTTGATGGAATAGAAACTAGAATTAAAGCATCAGGTGATTGATAATAATATTGAATAATATCTTTTTGTCTTGTAAAATAATAAAGCCAATTAATTAATTCATTTTTACTAGAAAAAAAAAATTAAGAAAAATTTTAATGAAAAAGAAACATTTGTTATTAATCACACGGATATTGTTTTATTCTATTTATTTCGAAACACATTTCTTCACCATCTTTTTACTTAATCCTTCCGAAATGGAATAACAATGTAGTTCATATATTAAGGGCCCCCCATACCTCAAAAATCTATTTTTTTCCCAGAACACTCAATCTTACTGGAATTTTTACTGAATATGTACTTGACCTTTGATAGTTCTCAGTAAAAATTTGAGCCCATAATATTAAGTTTTTCCCGAGTTATCGTAACATCAAGGATCAAAAAATAGGTGTCCGTGTGTCAAAGATTTGTTTTTCAATTTTAAAGACATGGACCTCGGGATGATGTCAAAATGTAGAGAAGACCTGCCCCTACAACCTAACAAAGCCAGTTTTTTCGAAAAAAATTAAAAAAACTAGATTAATTTTTTTTAGAAAACTCCAATTTTTTTTG